ATTATAAGGACAGGAGATCTCCATAAATAACTTCATATTTATAAAATGGCATACAAATATATATCAGATATAACTTAAAATGTCGAAGAATACAAACACGAGATTATCATTGATATTTTATTATAAATTATTGACTTAGCATTAAACCAATTTCTTAAATCCTAAGCTCTAAGTGAAAAGAAAAAATGGGATTTTTTGACAACGAAGTACAAGAAATTTATGATGGAAATGATCTCCGAGAGCTAAATGATATTTTTATGAAGGATGAAGGAATCGCCGAGAAATTAAGTAATTCTTTTGAAAATTGGATTCGAATAAGTTTTCTGTAATAGTTAATTAAAACGTTATTTTTTTTTCTTAGGAAAACTCATACCAAAAGCTCACGAAAAGATTATCGAGGATTATAAAGATCCTGCAGGAGATGATGAAGGTTCTCTCTCTTATTATATACATAATTTAATATACTATTATGATTGATAATATTGTGAGATATTCATTTCAACATTCATTTATGTAGAAGTGGCGATTAATCGATCTGGAAACGTTAGATTCAAAACTGATATAGTAGATATTGATTCATTCCAACAATTAAAAGACATAATGGAAAGTTCTGTTAAGGAGAATAAAAACGTTAAAGCTGTTGGATCTTTTGCAGCTTTTAGGTACCATATATTTTTTTACATGGTTTGCACAAAAAATAACATTATATATTTATACAAATAACTTGCCTTTAAAATCTTTTAAAAATAGTAATGTAACAGAAACAGATGGATACCTTTTAAAACCATATAAAACATCTAATATTTCCAGAACAGATTTGGAATTATTAAACGAAGAAGCTATATCTCAAGCTAAAAAAGACGATATTGTCTACTATGATGTGAAGTGGGGAACTACAATTTATGAAATTCTTCCCGTCCTGAAAGAAGATAATAGAGCTTTTTTTAACGTTGGTGGATGGACTGGTAAATACAATGATAAAAAGCCTTAATCAAGTATTTTTATAAAGCTAGTTTTTAGTAACATAAATTTCTATTTTAAGGACAGGATATCATTGGGTAAATATTAATCAAATTAATTTCTCGTCTACTACATATTAGCAATATTAAATGTGACATTTATTCATCCTAACTTTTTCATATTTCATAGTGTAAATGCAACTTCTACGCACGGTAGTGGCATCACTCTACCGCCCTTGTGTTCATTTGTAGTTTCTGTATTAATGGTTGCTCCAGGTAATGAAACACGTTCATGTTAATTATTATTATGATTTTCTAACACTTTATTTTATTTTATTTTATTTTTTTTAAGGAGAGAAAGTTTATAGAGTAGAACCAACAAAAGGAATCACAGATGTTTCCAAATTTACTGAAAATTTTCCGAATATAACTTTAATCCAAGATGATGAAACGTTTAATGCTGCTGTAGTAAACATTGGCGCACTTGGCGTGACCTATGAAGTCACTATTTCAACCGTTCCATTGTATAACATTATAGAAAGAAGAGAAGAAACTACTTGGACAAATGCCAAATCTGTCTTAAAACAGAAACCCTATTCTATAAACCCCTATTTGAAATCTCGAAATGTTGAAGTTTGGATAAGCCCATATACAGATTATGCTCTTATTACTCTAAGAGATTTGGCGACTGACGAAGATGTGAAAAAGTATCCAAAGCCAGAGGCCAAGGCACTGTTTCAAGAATTTATTGAATTACCTGTGGTGCAAGAGGTATCAAAAATTTTGAGCATTAAAGCGGGTGGTGCTTTATTTTTGTTGTTGAATCTATTCTCAGCCTTTGTACCGATTATCAATGAGCAAGCTTTGAGATCTCAATACCACGAAGAACCCATTGTTGATAGTTATGAATTAATTTATAACTCATTGGGTCCTGGTAGGTTAAATGATATTGGTTAAAAAAAAAATACTATTTTTTATTTATTTATTTACCTATTTTTTTAAAAAAGGGTTCGTTAATGATTTTGAGGTAATTTCGGTAGAATTTTCATTTTCAACAAAGGATGATAATCATATATTAGCAACAGACGCGATTTTGAAAACACTCAAAGAAATAAGAGATGAGCAAAATTTAAACATCCATGGACCAGCTTCTATGAGATTTTCTGCTGCTTCTTCACAATATCTTTCCATGGGAAATGGAAAGGGTGATGAAACTAGAGCATATTTGGAAATGATTATCTTGGTTTATGTACGTATGCATTGTTAAAAATTCGAAAATTAATTTTTTTAATTTTTTTAATTTTTCTTTTTGAAAAAAAAAATAGGACGTTTGGATTGATCAATATAAACGTGCATTTGATGCATTGACCGAAACTGCTTTAAAATATAATGCGAGATGTCATTGGGGGCAATATTTTTCTCCCAAACTTAATCACCAATATTTATTGAATGCATATGGAGAACAAAACGTTCAATCATTTATTAAGCAGATTAAGAAATTTGATCCAAATGGTACAATGAGTAATCCTTTATTAAAAAAGTTAGGATTAACACCCGATGGAAAGGTCACTGATTTTGGGATTTTTGAAACTGTGGAAGAAAAGTTTAAGGATAGGGTAGAAGAGTTTTTCAAAGTTCTTACAAATATTGTAAATTAAGATTTAGTTTAAGCGATATCGATATGGTAAGCTGATTGATTAAACTTTGACTACATACATATTATAAATATTTCTATATTATAAATATAAAAGATATTAATACAGATGATGTCAATTTAAAAATATTGCATGATGGTATACAGTTGTGGGGATGAAATATGATGGTTTATTATTCTTGAACCTACCCAAAACCCTAATCTAAATACAGAAATATAAAAAAAAGATCACAAAAAAGGCCCCCAAAATTTTTTTTGTAATTTTATAATAAAATACGGCAAAATTTCAGCATACCAATTTCAGCACAGGCCAATTTCAGCACAAGCCAATTTCAGCATAGGCTAATTTCAATTTCAGCATAGGCCAATTTCAGCATAAACCAATTTAGCATAAGCTGCCACATAATAACACGTCCGTTTAGTTTAAATTACTAAATATGAATAATAATAGTTTGGTCATAGACTTTAGCCTTTTTGATTGGACTAAAGTTTTGGTTGATTTTTACTGGGAACGTGTATCCGGTTATCTGGGTAATTTATTATAACCATCTAATAAAAATGTCTACCCGGGTACACACTATATCTTTCTGTGATAACAAAAAAAAAGTAAAATTTTAACTTTAGTTGCTATAATAAATTTTTAATCACTAAAAAAAAAAAAAAATGATAAGAGATTGAAACTAACAGTTTAATCGCGTTAACCGTTTAATTAAATAAACATAATTTGGTCCAGAACCCTAAGCGGTTAAAAGGTTTTAATTCTTATTTGACGAAAAATCATCAGTATTTAATGAAATCCCACAAAAAGAATAATAAAAAAATTTTCTGATAAATGAAAAGATCTGTTAATATACGATAGTACAACATGCCACGGGTGGTGCAAATTTAATAAACTATTTCTATCGTCATAGCGTAAAACCAAAATATTTTTTGATGATATTGTTGTTGATTATTTTTTTGTATATTCTCCCAATTACTTATGAAATTATGATTATATTATGTTCGATAAACAAAGAAAAAAGTTTGCAACGGAAATATGTCAAATATGCCATCTGTTCAAGAAACTTTGATTATTTAAATGCAATTAGCACCATTTCATTGCTGAATGATTAGGTACAAACTACTAACATTCACCCAGATGTGAATTTTTTGATCTGCATTACAGCATTAGCTCTACATATCTGATATAGATTTCTAGAAAATCCTAACATTGAGCATTATGTATAACAATTAACATAATCAAGTATGCATTTCTTTCGAAAAGATTGTAACCTCAACAACGCTACTATTCATTGCCAAACAATTTTTCCACGCGATTTCAGAAGATACAATTTTTATTTTGTTCATCACTACTAATCCTACAAAGTGTATAGCATTTCTTGATTCAGTTGCATCTTTAATTCTAACGACATCTCGAAGAAGGTCGAAATTTTGAGTATGTGCGAGTACAACACAATCATCTGCCACCAAATGTTTTTCACCAAATTGTTGAATAGCATACTGTTTAAATTCTCTCAATGTTGTATCACATGGAACAATTAATACTGTTGAAAAATCGGACATCCAATAATAATTTATTTTGAACGCTCGTGAATTATTTTCAGTGCATGAATCTTGGATCGTCTGATCGATCAAATCTACCAAAGTATTCATTGTTATTTGTGATGGTAAAGTTGAACCAATACACTCTTCACATGATTTTGTTAATGCTGTCATTTCATAGTTGTCGATCTTCTTATCATCATCTTTGATGTTTTTCGATGATCCAATTTTTTCTTTTTTGGACCAATTAAAAATTGATAAAATTTCAGAAATTGTTGAGAATTGTTCGGTAATTGGTGACATCAATTCAATGACAAAAAAAATGTTTTGAAAAAAAAAAAGATGATGCGTGTCGTTAATCAAAAATTTTGTAAAGAGCAAAATGCAAGGAAAATTTTTTTTTGTTTAGGCAATCGAAAGAAGAAAGAAAGAGTGAATGATTTCAAAACAAACGTACTCACATTAAAAGGTTGTATTTAAATACATCATAATATCACAATATCGTAATGATAAATACTGTATTTAAAATTAACTCAAAAGACACTATAATTGATAAGGCGGACAAAGAAAATGGTTTAGTAACCCAGTCTATTCTTTATTTTGCATATTAAAATTGGCAGGTTTAAAATAGTTAAATATTTTAATTGGCCTGCTTTTTGTGTTAAGTAGAATTGGAATAGATTGACATAAAACTTGGAATTTTTTTTTTTTTAACATCAAAAAAATTTTTCAAATAATAATCTTTTATTAAAATTTTGTGATCAGATGGCCAGGTAACAATAGTTTATCCGCACTGGGATCTTTTGAGTACCCATCACGTTTCTAGAATACTGTACCCTCTAGGTTACGTGATTTCATGGAAAATTCATGGAACAAATAATTAAGTAATGTGTAAAGAAAAAACATTAATGGAGATTGAACCCCGTTTTTTTAACCGAATGACCACCGATAACACTAACCCTAAGTTCCCGATTTCAATTTAGTAAACTTTCATCATATTCAATGACCGCGAAAATCAGGGTACAGAGAAAAATAAGAAATATTTATGTCGTAAGTGGGAATAGAATTTAAGTTGATTAAGGTTAGGATTGGGATTTTTAGTATAATTATTCCATTCTAATCTAGGTGGATTCCGAACACTATTATGGTTCCATTCCTACTTACAACATTTATATGAAGATTTCAAAAATTTTCTTTTCCACGTCAACTTTAAAATGATGATATAACTTTTGACATTGAAATTTTTTTATTTAAATTTTAAATTGCGAAATCTATTCACATTTGATGTAATTTTACTAATCTTGTAAAATATTTCAGATATTTAAATATTTTATGCTAACAACTCAGGAATGAATTTCTTTATCCTATTGACCTTTATTATTATACTTGCCTTTCCATGTTAACATTGAACGATCACCAGCATTTATCTAAATAAAGAAAAAAAAAGAAATTAAAGCATATTTAAAAAAACCCGATTAAACAAACTGAAAAATTAACCTTATAAATAAGATCTTGGACAAACGACGGCAAGAACCTCAACAATGTTAAAGCATTAACATAAAATGGAAGAAAGATATCCCGTCCTTCATTTTTATCCAAAGCGGTGATTATAGGCTTTACTACTTCAAGTGCAGGCATCGAGGGTGTGAAAAAAGGGAATCTAATAGTTACTCCTTCAAACATTCCAGTTTTGATTTCTCCAGGACAAACTAATGTTGTGCGAATATTTTTTGCATCATATCTGGTTGAAAGTTAATTTCTATGTCAGAAACAATTAGGTGATTATAAATTTAATCAAAATTTATAACTAATGTTTACCGACTGTCCAGTTCACGGCGTAGTGTTTCATGAAAACCGATCAATGCAGATTTACTTGCACAATAGTCAGCTGTAATTTGTATTAAAAAAAAAATATATGCTTAAAAAAACTGAATTATACTACATGATATGAAGATATAATGCTTTAATATCTAATAATTGAATATACTAATACCTAATTGAGGTATTCCAATAAACCCAAGAGCAGATGCTATTGTTACCTTTAATAAATAAAGAAATAAATCACATATTAAATTATAATGTTTCTTAATTAAAATTACAACAAATGGTAAAAATTTACTATATGTCCGTGTTTTGTCTTTATCATCTCAGGTAGAAAGACTTTGGTGGTCCAAAAAGATGATAATAAATTAGCGTTGAAAGTTCTTGATAATTAATAATAAAAGTATATTGTTATTGTTAATAACACAGTAAAGATTCATTATCTTGTGTATCGAAATATACTTCAAACAAAATCTCACTCTATTATTTCTTTTTCAGATAAATCCAGAATGGATTTTCCTTGAACAATTCCAGCATTATTGATTAGAATAGTAGGATGGCCAACCTAAATATATGTTTGAGTGTTAATTATTAATTCGAAAATTTTAATAATTATTGTTGATATGTTTGAGTGTTAATTATTAATTCGAAAATTTTAATAATTATTGTTGATTGGGTATTGTTCAATCCCGAATCAATACGGAGGTTGGGACTAGGAGCCTGCACGGGCCGGGCCGAAATTTGAAAATTTTAAAAACCTCTCAAAAACATAGTAAATTTTATTTTGCGGGCCGGCAGAAGTACAAATTTTTAGGCCCGTGCAGGGCTCTAGTTGGAACCGTTATAAATTCAAAAGTTGGTTTGAATTTATACATCATTTATAACCGGTTATTATAGGTAAAATTTAATCGGATTGTGTTGAATGTAGAAAATAACATTATTTAGTAGTATATTATATAATTTGCTTGAGTTAAATTTTCAAAATAGAATTCTATTATATCGATTTTAAAATTTTAGCTTTAAAATTCACGTCATATAAATTTTATCATTCGGTTCCAACCTCTAAACATTTAAAATTTTAGCTTTAAAATTCACGTCATATAAATTTTATCATTCGGTTCCAACCTCTAAACATTTAAAATTTTAGCTTTAAAATTCACGTCATATAAATTTTATCATTCGGTTCCAACCTCTAAACATTTAACATTTACTTCAAAGATAAAAAAAAATAGTTATAAAGTAATAGATACCTCATCGATGATCTCCTTAGCTACCCTTTGAACATCTTCAAGTTTTGACACATCACATTCATAATAAATTATATTAACTAGACAAGAATTTATAAGTATACAAAATTATCATTTATCATTAAAAGAAACAAATTATTTCAATAAAAAAAAAAAAAGAAAGAATACCATTTTCAACTTCTGGAGGCCTAATATCTAATATAACAACAGTAACACTCCTAATTGCAAGTGTTTCTGCTAGTAAACTTCCAAGGCCTCTCGAGCCTACATGTTCATCAATAAGAAATGGATCAATTGAGACAATAATAAGATCAGATATAAAAGAAAATTATTATGGCATTGACCTCCAGTTATAACCACAACTTCTTCATCCCAATCAACTTTGGATGATTTC